TATAAATAACATACACAATGAATTCTGTCATTTAAAAAGTACTGTAATTTATTATGAAAAAATGGTTTATAAATTTCTAAAGCTGCCAGTTTTAAGGATAGTGCCCAGAAATGCCTGGGATCTAGATTGCATTTTGTGTTCAGTATTGTGAACATTAATCAGCTAAGTACCATAATCCTTCTTACAGGGTACATTCTTACTTGACCTCGAGCTATATACAGCCACATAGTAACAGCATTAAAGAATAACCCTTTTCTTAACAGGCCCATCACTAGAGGATTTTATGGCTTCTTCCTTGAATGATTGTTGTTTCATGTGTAACTTTTTAATAATTGAGTTTTGAAATAAAATGTTTGTAAACAAGTAGATACTTTCAAATCATCTGATTAAGGATGGCTTCTATGATTTTGCTAGGGCTAGAAGGATTAAATGAAAGCACAGCCTGGCACAATGTTGATGTATTTTTGTCAACATGATGCTTCATGCTCGACAGATGTGAATTGGTTGAACAAAAGGTAAAAATAAAAATTTTAAATATTAATTGTGATGGGTAAAAACTGATCTATTATGTTTTTTTGATAAATATAAATTGATTTTATATTTAAATGCTTTTTGTAGGAACTATAGGAATGCAATCTGTGTATTTCATATTTTATAGGAACATATATTTCAAATTTTTGATGTACTGTGTTTTAACAGCTTTCAATTTTAGAATTTGATTGCAATATTATATTTAAACTATATGGTTAAAATTCTGTAATTTTATTAATGAAATATTATTTTCATTTATTTGGCATTATCCATGCTTTCTAAAGCTTTAATGAAGATTTTTTAAAAATTATTGATTACTCAAGTGTACCTTATGTCCTTTTGTTTATAAAATGACAATTTTTAATAATCTATAGTAATAGAGGTTATGGGCAAGAGATTTTCAGATAGGTAGTGCTTAATCAAAATAATATAAAATTTGAATTTTCAGAACTCAGTAATCTTGAAATTCTTCACTTTTAAACTCATTACAATTCTTTAAAATTACATGTATCTTAAAAAGTTAAAAGTATCTGCATATTAAAAACCAACGTTTTCATGTAATCTTTAACTGTCTTTATAAATGTTTGCTATTTTGTATTTTCAGGGATTTGGTAGTTATTTTTTCTAATAACAGTATCAATTATAGTTAACATAAACCAAATTGGTTGGCAAATATTCTAAGTATTAAATTGGAAATTACATATAAACATGATGAATTTATATACAAAATATAAACTGAAAATACCTTAGGGAAATTAGGAAAATGATTTTAATTGGTAAAGAAATTTCATATTTGAAATTTTCCCCTCAGTTTGTATGATTTGGGGACATGGAATTTTACAGCTTAATTGATGGGCTTTCTACTGAAATATTATGCAGAGTCAGAAAAATATGGAGCATCTGGTGTGTTATATAGCCAGAATATTTTGAAATAGATTAAATAGTCCATATGACAAAAAGTATAAGCAATGAATAGAAATGCTACTCATTAGAGTTTGGATGTTTAATATGTAATTTTCTATTAACTGGTCCCAGTTAAGGTCATTATAATGTGTTAAAAGAAAATAGTTGTAATAATCCACATTTCAATAAAGAGAAGTAAGGTGAATGTATGTCAGGTAAATATAAAGCAAGTATAAATATATAATGTTATTATATAAGAAAATAGGCTTTAATGGCATACATAGGAATGAAACTTAAGACACTATGTAGCATCACAAATACATTTTAGTCTAAAAAAGCACAATTTTGGATTCTGTCTCTCACTTTCTCAGAAACAAATGGTGCATATTATGCTCATGTGTGCATAAGTGCATATATACAAACGATGTTGTATCCTTGAAGGAGTGATATAAAACAACACTCTAGATGAATTGCTCGATTACTTTGAATTATGATTTGTGGGTTAAATACTGTTAACTGCCTTTATAAATCGTTAGAGTAATGTACAAATTATCATTTTTTAATTTATTAAATGCTTTCACCTGATAATAATAAATGCTAAGACTTATTTATAAAGGCCAGTAGCAACGATAGAGACTAGAGACACAGAACTTTAATTTTCATTGATTTTCTGTAGTTCCTGAAAATACGATAGGGTCTAAGAAACATAGAAGTTTTAAAATATAAAGAAGAACAATTGATACAGTTCATCAGAATTATTTTGAAAGAATATTTTAATATTTTAGAATATTTGATGGCAGATAGTTTATTTTTGGGTAATCTTACAATGAAATCTTGACTGGCTTCTGATATAGTTTTAGTATACCATAAAGTATTATACTTAAAAGTATATTTTTAAAGACCTATGTCCATTTTAAGTGATAGTGACTATAGTCATCCTAGGTTGAGATTTTAACCACTGTTCTATTTTTACTTAAATCCAGTGCAAATCAGCATGTACAGTAAGATTCATATGCTTCAGGCAAATTTCATAATCTCTATGACACAGTGATTGCTGGATTTAATATGGAATTCAATTTTCCTAAGGTATAATTTTGGAAAATACATCTAATAGCTTGCCAGTGGCCAATTATTAATGTACTTTCTTTTGGAACTGAATTTTACAATAAGAAGTAAATCTTTCCTATTTATCAATAAAATAGAATCCTCTATTATTAAAAACTTATTATATTCACTTTATACATTCTTTCAAAAATTCATTCTATTTCCTAAGTTTAGGAATAAAAATTGTTTCTTTTTTTTCTTGATACTTCTATAATACTGAGTGCAATGTTAAATATGTTACTGGCAATTTTTTTTAACAGCTTTAAGATTTCCAATAGGCAAATTAACTGGATGAAGTTTTGTTAGCATATTATAAGATCATAGTCACTAAGAAATGGAGGAGGGCTTTAGAATCATTCAGCTTCTTAAGATCAAGTATGGTGTCTTACTCGTTTCTATGTCCCTAGTCTATATTTTAATGTGTTATTCATTGTTTACCTACTATATGTTTGTTAAAATCACATATGAGTCTTCATTTTAAAGCACAGACTCCCTGAGATTAAATAGCTGTGTTGGTTCAAATAACTGGTTAATAATAACAGTAGGACAAAGAAATGCAAATTTCTTAACTCTAGTGTTCTTTTCATGATATTCTATTACTATGCAAGCCATTTGTAAAAAAAAAAAATATGACCAAAGTAAAACAAACGGTGCATATTATGCTTATGTGTGCACAAGTGCATGTATACAAACGATGTTGTATCAGTTAATACCATAATATTTTGGGGTTTATTTTGATCTTAAATTTTAAACTCTAAGAGTCTATAGTTTTATGTAGCAATTGTAACCTAATTTTTTATTAAATTCTATATGTTTTATATGTAATTATTCATATAAATCATATCCACTTGCTTAATTATAAAACAATTAGGGTACTGGTTAATTCCTTCATTTATTACAATTCCTTTTCCTTTAAGGTTCCATGATAATCTGTCATGGCTTTGCATTTATGTGAGATTTGAAAGGTGGAATAAATAAATGTTATTGTCAAACAGTAGTTTTTGGTAGACAGACAGAATGCAAAATCTTAGAGGCTTCTAGGGGAGCTCCTGTTAATTGGCCACCACACAGTAGGCCACTGAGATCATTGGGGGAAAATTTCCAAAGTCTTTAGAGATATCAGCAAATTTCTAAGGTCCATATTGCAAACCCTTATTTTGGATCCCTTGGGATTAATTTCCCTGACCTTCATTCTTCTAGCCCATTCAATCTTCATGTAGCTCTGATTCCTGTATTAAAACCTTTCTTACTGGAAAAACCAGTTTTCACTAATGAACCCTTATGGATAAAAAAATTGGCAGACTGTATTCCAGATATGAGAGAAAGGGGATTCAGTAGCAAAAGGAAGACTTTAAAAGAGAGTGCTGATTTTGCTAGGTTGAGTCATTCCACTCTATTCTTTTTCTAATCTTGCTTTTAGACCTCTCTGGTCTCTGCCCCACCCTACCAAAGTCAAACTGACAATCAAGTTGTTGAATCTTGGTCATCAAACTGGCCCTACTCTGACATTTTTTTGTTTGTTTGTTTGTTCATGTCCAAGAAAAATCCTCACAACAGTTTTTCTAAACTTTTTGTCTCATTTTCAGGATTCCAATCCCATTGTTTCACATAGCTAGTTGTAGATATTATCTGAGTTCATACTAGAGAAGAGGACAGTGTGAATATTTTGTTGACAGAATACCATGCATCATTGTATTATTAACTATATGTAGGTTATACCAATGTTAGAGAGACATGTTGGAAATAGTAAAAATTCTCTTCCTTTGAGTCTATAAGGGAATATGAAGGTCATATATGAAGATGAAGTAGAGAAGTATCACTAAGCAGGCATTAATCTTATTGAAGATGAAGTAAATTTCTGAATCCTAGGGTTTTTTTATGAATAATTGTTGGTGTTTATTTAAATTACTTATCTCAAAATAGAGATGGAAACATAATGTTATGATGAAAATTTAGATTAACCAATAATAGGAGTGATATAGGTGATGAATGAAAAATGAATTTTAAGAACTAGCAGTTAATGTTAGAAAGTATTCAACTCTGGAGGCAAGTCAGTTCGACTTCATTACATTTCCAGATGAAAGTGACAGAATAGAGAGAATGGAAGGAATATTTTTCTAAGCTGTTGATAATTAGGGGATAGCTAATGTGTAGCAAGACAAGCAAAGAAGTTAAAATAAATACTGTTTTACATCAGTAGAATAGGAGATTGATTATCTAATTTCAGAACATAGTATATTTCACATATTTTTTTGGTCATTTAATAACCACAACAAAATATCTTTGAATGACCTATTTGAACTGAATCAAATTAATCTTACTAAAACTTATTTTGGTATATTTTTAAAATGAAAAAAAAGGGTCAAAAGATTCATCTGAATTTATCCATCAACTTGGCAGTGAATCAGTAAAATATAAAATTGTTTAACTATGTTCTTCTAATTGGACTTTTGGCTACTTAGGAAAAGAAGTCCATCGGTGTCCAGAGATCAGAATAGAAGATACGACCAAAGGGAAGAAAGAGAAGAATATTCGCAGTATGCTCCTTCAGACAGCGCAATGCCCAGATCTCCATCAGACTATTCTGATAGACGATCTCAACTTGAACCTCAGTTTTATGAAGAATCTGATCATTTAAATTATAGGGATTCTAACAGGAGAAGTCATAGGCATTCCAAAGAATATATTGTAGATGATGAGGATGTGGACAGCAGAGATGAATATGAAAGACAAAGGAGAGAGGAGGAGTACCAAGCCCGCTACAGAAGCGATCCAAATTTGGCCCGTTATCCAGTAAAGCCACAGCCCTATGAAGAACAAATGCGTATCCATGCTGAAGTGTCCCGAGCACGGCATGAGAGAAGGCATAGTGATGTTTCTTTGGCAAATGCTGAACTAGAAGATTCCAGGATTTCTTTACTAAGGATGGATCGACCATCAAGGCAAAGATCCATATCTGAACGTAGAGCTGCCATGGAAAATCAGCGATCTTATTCAATGGAAAGAACTCGAGAAGCTCAGGGACAAAGTTCTTACCCACAAAGGACCACAAACCATAGTCCTCCTACCCCTCGGAGGAGTCCAATACCCACTGATAGACCAGACATGAGGCGTACTGACTCACTAAGGAAACAACACCTAGATCCCAGCTCTGCTGTGAGGAAAACAAAACGGGAAAAAATGGAAACTATGTTGAGGAATGATTCTCTCAGTTCAGACCAGTCAGAATCAGTGAGACCACCACCACCAAAGCCTCATAAATCAAAGAAGGGTGGGAAAATGCGCCAGGTTTCATTGAGCAGTTCTGAGGAGGAGTTGGCTTCCACACCTGAATATACAAGTTGTGATGATGTTGAGATTGAAAGTGAGAGTGTAAGTGAAAAAGGTAAGCCCTCTAATCACATTTCCCTGTAATTGCTCACACAAGAGTTTTCTTTTCAGATTGTATTTTGGAATAAACACTTAATAGTTAGATATTCTTCCCTTTATATCAAGTCTTTTAGTGGTGTTGGTCATGTGAAGAAAATCTCAGGTTATAAAAAGTAAGTATCTTCCATGTTCACGTATATCCTATGTTCATGTATAAGAAAAAAGTCTGTTTTGTTAAAACCCCTGTCCTGCTTTGTTTCCGGAATTTTTCTTGCATCACTTGATGGCATATTTTAAAAATATCTATTAGCTGTTGTTTAAAAATAACATTTTTTTGTGTCTATAAAAGTAACACTGTGTTCAATATAAAATATTGAAAACTTTCCTGAAAATGTAAAGAATAAAATTCGAGTTATTCATGTTTTTTCTTCCAGATACAACCATTGTTAAACTTTTGTCATATTTTCTTTCTTGTTTTTCTATGCATGTATAGTTTATATGTTTATAAAATTGGTATCATACTGTGTATAATTTTTTATCCTGATTTTTTCAATTGATATCCTTTTCTTCAAACTATTAGATAGATAGTCTTTAGAAATCTGTTTTAAATGACTGCACTAATGCTTGATCTTAAGAATGTATCCAAAACTAAATATTGCAGTTGCTTCCAAATGCTAGTATTAAATAATGTTACAATGGTTATCTTCATATATATATATATATATATATATATATATATATATCTTCATTTCTGAGTATTTAAAACTATATATATTTGGACTTTGGATTTTTAAAAATCTTTAATTCATCTTTCTAGATTGCTTTCCAGAATAGTTGCAATATTCTCTACTACCATCAAATATGCTTATGCTTTTGCTCTGAATGCACCAGATCTTTTTAAACTAAATAGGCCACAAAAATGCTCTTTATTAGCAGAATGGAATTCATTTACCTTAATTTAAATTTGATTGTGAGGTTGAATGTTTCAATGTGCTTATTGGTGTTTGATATCTTCTGTGAATCATCTTTTCATTCCTTTATTCCTTTGGTCCTTCTTCTTATTGGGTATTAATTAATTTTTCTTATTGACTTTTAAGAACTTTTATATATTAGAATTTTACCTCATCTGAGTTATTTTTTTTCCAAATTTACTTCCTACTTCAATTTTATCTGCTAATTTTCTTTGGTTATTTGCAAATATTGAATTTAGTATAGCTAAACCTTTGTATATTTGTTGATTTTTTTCTCATTACTTTCATCCTTAGAATTCTTTATTCTTCCCCAATCAGTTAAATATTTAGGTGTATATTTTGCCAACTTTTTTCTTAAACATTAACTTTTTAATCTTTCTGGTTTTATTTTGGTGTGTGACATGGTATCTAGCACAAATTGCTTGTACCAATCCCTGCCTCATCCTCCCCCAACTTTATCATAATATTTGGTCAGTAGCCCATTTCTTATTTGTAAGAATCAGGAAGAATCAAATGGAATTCAGGAAGGCAAATAGATATGATATTAATATAGTAATTTTATGCCATATCAAAACTAATTAGAAAAAACAAGAGTAGTTCTCATTCTGAACTAAAAACAGAAAGTCAATTTTAAAAATAATTAACAAGCAATGAGGGGACCTGTGGGAAGAATCAAAAAGTTTTATTGGATGACATAAAGGAAGATGTGAGTAGAGAAGTTCATTTCATGTTCCTAATTAGGAAAACTAAAAACTACGAAGATGCATGCCAAATAATCTTTTGGGTTAATAACATTCTAGCAATGATTCCAGTTGGACCCTTGGGGTATCTTACTTTCTAAAGTTTATATGGAAGGAAAAACACTGGTAAGAATAGCTAAGAGTAGTCAGGAAGAACTCACTTGACCAGATATTAATAAAATGACAATAATTGAAAGTGTGTTATTGATAGAAAATTCAGCAGATCAGTGGAATTTTAGTATAGAATATTAAAAACTAATAAAAGGATAAAAATATAAAAGGTGCCACAATTCAAGGAGAAGGAGATAGTTATACAACAAATAGAGTGAGAAAAATGTACATGAAGTTGAAGAAATCAAATTATAAACTTATTGTACACTTCTTGCATTAAAATGATGTTATAAAAATTTGTGTCTTGAAATATAAATATCTCAAAAACTGGTAGATATTAGTTTTATGGAGTATATAGGAATTTTATTTTCCATATGCTGCAATATTTCCTTGAGTACACTTAATAATTTTTAATTTGATCATTTTTCATGTTTTTAGAGTTATAGATACTAATTGATTAAAAAAGATAATTTTGTTATTTCTGATGGGTTGGGTTTGATTCCTTCTGGTAGTATTTTATTATAATTTGCTAAAACTAATATTTTTATTTTACTAAGTAAAAATGTATAAATGATGCAGAGATATATCAATACAGTACTTGAAAAAATTTTATGTGTGGTAGCCTTTTAAATATTTATACTTTGTTTTAGGATTCTGAACTATCCACTTATAAAAATCTCACAAAAATTCATACATAAAGAGTTCTGAATGAATTATATTCAAATCCTATGTGATACTAAAAAACTGAGACATTTATCAAGTAGGGAAACATGCCACTTACATCTGTGTTCTCCCCTAATTTGAACTTCAAGGAGACACTCTTGGAGATAGTCGTCCTCTTTCTCATCTATCTAATAATTTGTTTCTCAGTGTATAATTTCTGCTAATGTGTATTTTCTAGGCATAGATATGATTTTCACATTTGAAAGAAGGAACCTGAATAAAAGTAATCTTTTCATGTTCAATATTTCTCCAATAGTAGAATTCAGTGAGGAGAAATTGCAGCTGTTAAGAGATTGGAAGTTATGGGAAAGAAAATAATGTATGTCATATCTAGACTTTTCATCATTATAGTAGCATCTAAAATTATTTGTGGAAAAAGTATCAGTCTGATTTGAGAATAAGCTACTTTTAATATCTAATATTTTTATTCATAGGCATATTGGGATTTAACTAATGTTTAACATTTCTTCTGAATAATTATGGAATTTCATTTGTACCATTCAAACACATTTTTTCCTTGTTTATTTATATGTGGAAGCATCATTCTGATGAGGACAAGCCTGCTTTTGAAAGATAATTGTCCTTTTGTTTTGTTATCCCTAGGCTAGATAACTACAAAGAAAGTATTCTAACACTCAGATATCTTTTTGATTATCTTTACTTTTTTGTTCCTTTTCATTTTTTTATGTACATTCTTAAAAATGGACAGTGGAAATTTGGATCAAGTAATCTAATTTTAAAATATTAATCAACTCTCTATAGATAGTACCAGTCAGTACTATCATTGCAGAAGGATTCTTTTGAGGCCCTAGTATCTTATAGCTTCTGTTTACTACTTAGCAGGATCTTCTGTTCTTTAAATAATAAAATTCCATTGACAATCTACAGCAAGCTTATAGATCACTTAACTTAAAACCTTCTTTCCTCTACTGTTCTTTTGGCTCATCTAATTTTTAGTTTCAGCTTCATTGGTGAATTGGTGGCTTTGGCTCTTTTATTATACATGTCATTTTGGATGTATTTCATTATTTTAAATATACATATTTCACTCATATTTGAAATCAGTGTCATTTTGCTTACTATATTCTGATAAATTATGCTGATATTACAGTCCATGAGTGACTTGACCATTATTTGTGTAAGAGTAACAGGGGTATGTAATAGGAAGTTTTGGAATCTAAGAAATCAAATCCTGGGTGTGTTATTCTCTCAAAGCATTTTAACTACTCTAAGTCTGTTTCCTTACCTATAAATCTGTAAATCAGAATAGCCTTGTTAGTTTTTGATAATTGTAGGGACCAAATGAGCCACTCTCTCTCTCTCTTTTTTCTACACATACTCACATGTACATGTTAAGTATCAGACATTCACATCATTTTTTACATTATTTATTTAACATTTTGTAATAGTCAAGACTTTATTAGGCAACTCTAAAGAAATTTGGATGGAAAAATATAATTTTGGTCATGTGGACTGTGGTCATTTGTGTGGTTTTCTCCTCTTTCAGAATCTGCTCCATGTTGAACCTCCTATTTCCAGGCTAAGAAGAATATACCTTTTAACTTGTTGAAGTATAATTTTGAGATGTAATGCAATGTCTCACTAAAAACTAAGCATCTATTTACTTGTTGTCTGACAAGTACTTTTTTAGGGTCTCTTATTTACAAAGTGTGGGATTAGATACAGTTGAGAATGTAGAGATGAATAACACATTCATTCTACCCTCAAAAAATTGAATGATTAAAATAATATTAGTATAAGGTGATTATACTGTAGGAATTATATGACTTTAGAAGAAAAAAGACATTTGTTATATCCACTGATATTTTGGGAACTGTATGTCTTGAAACACTTATCTTTCAACAATGTGATGCAATTCCTTTTCACATTGTTAAAATAATCATTTCTCTATACCTTGTGTTGGTTTAGGAAATGACAAACTGTGATCTTTCTCTCCCCCCGTCCTTTCTATTTTTGCTTTGAGGGTTATAGAAGAAGATAAGGTTTAGATTGCTGATGTCATATTATCTTTGAATTTGAATATTAGATGTGCTTCTCAAATTTTAAAATGTTTTTCATTAAAAACATAAAAAAGCTTTATAAATTACTATTGACTTTATAATTTTATTTATGATTTCCTTATTGAATGATCCTTAGTGCTGTTGATATTGGAGTTGGATAATTGTTTTGTGAGGCTGTCTTGTGTATTGTAAGGTGTTTAGCAGAATACCTACTAGGTAACCAGGAGCACTCCATTCCCAGTTGTTATTTAACTCCCGTGGAGCAGAGCCCCCTGGCCCTGACCCCACCTACAATCTCTACCCTCTCCACTTGTCCTTCTCCCCTCTTTGCTCTCAGAACCAATTAAAAAAATTTTAAAGCGTGAACTAAAATATAATAGAAAATATCAGAGAAATACTTAGTAAGGATAATATATATATATATATACACAAACACATACACTCTATAGT